AGCCGAAGCTGGCTCCGGCCACTTTCAGAGAGATCAGCGTCCCTGGTTACCAGCTAACCAGGGACGCTGTAATTACACACTGAGAGCGGCCTCTCCGTGTTCTCAGTGTGTAATGACAGATGGCGTTCCTGGTTACCTGGTAAAAAAACAAAAAAATCACTATAGGAATGCATATCTAGATTCCTATTGGCTATTTCAATTTGCAATAGCCAATAGCAAACTAGCTATTGCACCCGCCCACTGCTGCTGTCAATCAGCAGAGGGGGACCTGCAGTTCTCCATCATGTCCCCACTCTAGTGATTGACAGCAGCAGAGGGCGGGTGCAATAGCTAGTTTGCTATTAGCTATTGCAAAGTGAAATAGCCAATAGGAATCTACCTATGCATTCCTATGGTGTGTTCTTTTTTTTTTTTTTTTGACGGCAGCAGAACCGCCCGGCCAATAGAAAACAGTTGGGTGGAGCACAATTGTTAGTTTTTTTTCTACTTTTTTAACTTTTTCTATTCTGCTCGGTTCCACCGAGGGACCGAGCAGAACAGCCGAATGCCGCTCAGCGGCATTCGGCTATTTACTCACTGCTGTTTGGCATGTAAGAGAATAGACCGAACAGCAGCAAGTAGCCTGCCGGAGGTTCGGCTTAGCCAATCCAGATATTGGATCGGCTGAGTCGAACTCCTTCTGCACTTCGGGTCGGCCGAACATGCTGAGCATGCCGACCCGAAGCCACACGAAGCAACCCGAAGCAACCCGATGTATGACTGATTTCAGCCGATATACAGCAAAATAAGCCGTACCAGCCTGAAGTGAATAGCTGAACAGCATTCGCCTCACTTCGCTTGGGGTCGGTTAGTCACTCAGCTGCCTAAGGCAGCTTAGTGAATAGACCCCATAGAAAGAACACATTAATGACTTCCCTTTAAAATTGCATGTTTATTTCTCATCCCTATAGATTAATAGTATGGAAGCACATATATCTGAAGGAACTTCTTAGAATCCTTCTTTGATATATCTTTTTATGCAAAAAGTAGTGTAATTGCAAACAACCGAATCACTAAATACAAACTGATAGCATTAAGGATCCTTGATGATTCCGAGTACAGCTCTGAGGACCCATTCACACCGCTTAATTATGCTTTTCTGCAATTAACACACTGTACTGTACAACGCATTTGAATGGAGACCCAAACACACCTCCCGTGCGCAATGTGATCGATCGCACCACGGTACCTCAATATCGTGCGCTGCGATTAAAAAAAAGCAGTGCATACTTTTTTTTACTTTTTTTAGCTGGTCACTATTCATTATTGCCGTAGATACCTACTAATTAAAGTCTTGTGGTAGCAATATACAGATGTGGAATCTGCAAATCACTGCATGTTACAGTGCCTAATGCATTAAATAGCACATAAGACTAGTACTTTCTACACGTCTGGAAGCTCACACACTTGAGATATTGCCTTTTACCCAAATACTTTTATGCACCTGCATCTTGCTCGGTTAATTGAAAGCTACACTCTAGTTTCCTAACATTGGAACCACAGCAGAAAATAGAGTTGCACGTGCCCATGAGCAATAACTGTGTTTATATTTCATTTCAACATGTTGCTTTCTCCAGCATATTTCACCACCCACTCTTTTCCACATGCCTGCCTTCAGCACTGCTGCACCTGCTGCATTCAATGTTTTGTGACATGTGGAAAGCTGTACACGTGTTTGGGAAAAAAGATTTCAATTGAGACAATAATCGAATGTCTTTCTTCCAGCATTCTCTTCCACTGGTCCCTTGAATACTAGTTGATGACTTTTTTTTGTATAGGTATTTAAATGAAAGCAAGATCAGGATGGTGGTAATGACTGTGGTGAAAATAGTAATAAGGATATAGTAAATGTAATTAAATACCATATCAGTGGTATAGATTGTGTTCCACACACATACATCTGTGTAAAGCAGTGATGGAGTCATCCACACCTCATTAGGTTGTCCTGATATTTGCAATTGCTGCAACAAATTAGAACAGCTCCTTTGAGAATCAGGCAGTGTATGGGTTAACTTCTCCGTAATAGTGAACATTTGCAGGTATTAGGAGTGTTCATTATTATAAGCTCTCACAAGCAGGGCCCTCCTAGCCCTATTATATTGAAATTGTATTGTAACTGTACTGTCTCCCCATTTTGTAAAGTGCTGCACAAACTGTTGGCGCTATATAAATCCTGTATAACAATAATACAATAATAATCATTATTGCTGTAGAGAATGTACAGTATTTCAGTCAGTAATCTTTACATATGCAAAGGAAAAAACTGTCACTGAATGTGCTGCACATCACTGTGCAAGAAGATTGAATTAGGGTTAAATACTATACAGGTCCCGGGGGAAGACTGCAAACTCATCAAATATGATGATAGATCATAATAAATCTTATGACCCTGATTCTAAAGCTTTCTCTAAAGATTTCTCAGCCGAGTGAGAGAAATCACTGGATTCCCCCATCCACACTAAACAGCATGGTCAGCTATTGTAATCAGACAGCCGGAACCCGAACAGTGACTGGACTTCAATGCATACCTTCCAAACTGTCCCTCATTTAAACCAAATTCTCTGTCCCTCTTTCCTCCTCAGTTACTCCTGTTTTTGGTCTCATGTACAGAAATCTATCAAAATGTTCTACTTCACAGTGAAAGGTGATATTCTCTAAAACCTTCATTCTGTCTCTTAATTATCTCTTTTCACTATATGAAAAAGCCAGAATATAGGAAAAGTAATGGTGAAGAAAAAAAAAAAGAAAACAATTCTTGGTTCAACCAATCATTTTTGGCGTATTAATTCTTAATGGTCCACATAACTGGGGACGTGGCAGGGGTATGTCCATTATCTAAATACATTGTGCTGGAAAGTTTCCCTCTTTCTCATCTCAAAAATTGGGTGGTATGCGATTGGGTGCAGTCACTGTCACAATATTCTGCCTGGCACCTTGGCTTTTCCAATTGAAGTTTGTTGAGTTGGAGATGGTAGGGCCACCCACAAATCACATTTTGTGAGATTCAGCAGGAAACAGTCAATTTGATCTGTGTATGGCCAGCTTAGGAGAAGCTCTGACTGATTATGGCCAATCCCTGCAAAAGGCACAATTTTGATAATACCTCACTTAGAGATTTAGACCACTGACTGTCTCCACAAACATGTTAACAACATGCATAGGTGCTCAGACGTCTTTGGGGGCAGACAATTAAAGATCAGCTCTGAATATTCACCCAGACTAACAGGGTTATTCACAAAAGGGTGAAGAGTTTGAGAAGGCAAACATAGCTGATTTGGAAAAATTCTCCAATTCAGCTCACTTTCCAGTTCAGCTATGTTGTCCTAGATTGTCTTCTCTTGCCTTCTCCAAACACGTCATCCTTTTGTGAATAACACTGCTAGTCTGGAACATGATTGCACCACCACCCCTTGTTTTCCTACTACATGATGTCTTCAGTTTAAGTGATTGCCATCTGCTCACAGCCAGCACACAGAACTGCAAAATGCAAAATACAATGTAATATATGATATATGGCATTAAACACTGATTTCCAAAGAAACTCTAAGTTAAGTCAGCTGGCAGGCGTTCACTCTTTATAAACATTGGCTGCTCTGAGATGGTACAGGATTTTCTTTCTGTTGCACTTTAGACTTGATAGTGCACAAAGCTTGTCAGTAAATACACCCAAAGATCTGGTTGTTTAACCCAAACACAGACTACATGGATCTTTAAGAAATTTGTACATTACAAGTATATAACAATGGACGAACATATCTTAAAGATCTGGAGGACAAAAATGATTACATGCAATTAGTCACTGAGTCTTATGTTTTCTACGAACATGTAGAAAGTGTCTGTGAGAGGCTCATGGCAGGGCTGTTTAAGCCATGGAGTGCTAAAAGTTTCAGGGTGTTTTTAGATTTGTAGGTGTCAGGTATTTGTAGCAAAGTCAGTTATTTGTAGCCATATATACTGTATTTACTGATGTAGAGCCGCACACTACATTCAACAAAGGGTCTAGTGTGCTGAAAAGTTAGAATTTTTGGTTTTATTGTAAATATACTTTTTTTTCATTCCATCTACAGGTGTAAGCTACTGCCTTGTATCATCATGAAGTCCTGGATTATGCTGATGTCACTCCTTGGAACTGCTTTCTGTTTACCTGTGAGTTCTATGCATTCGGTAGTGGTAGTAACTTTCCTACAACTTGCCTACATGTTATTATTAGCCAAAAATGCACTGTACATGCACATAAAGATGATAAAAAAACTATCCACCTTGTATTGCTGTGTATCCACATCCACATTTCCCCTCACTGCAGGTGATGGTTGTTACTGGGACAGGAGGTGAGGTTCAACTCTTCCTTAAGGTGCCCATACACTGTACGATTCTCGTACGAGAATCGCGGGAAATCCCGCGTGTATGGAAGGCGTGTATGGAAGGCGTGCGACCATTTCTACTGTACGGTCGCACGTCTTCCATCGAACAAGCAGTGTGGAAAACCCGCCGGGAATCGTACGATTCTCGGCGAGTGAGTGGCCTGCTTGTTCGACAACTGACGAACAGGCCGGACACAGCTAAAACAAGTATTGGATGGGATTGGGCTGCAAACATGACATTAATTGGATACAGATCATATATTACTGGTAGGGTTTGTTTACACTGCCTGTGTAAGGGAACGCATGTAAGGAAGTTCTGATGCTAGCCAAGCACTCCCCCATTTAGCATGGATGGGGGAATCATGCATTTAACTTGTTCAGCTCTTGGGGCTGAACAAGAAAAAATGAGTAGTGTACAAGTGCTTCAGTTCATGGCTGGGGTGTTGCAGTAGAAGACACTTATTGTTTTTCATTGCTACTACCAGCAGGCCCACTGGGAGAAGTAGTTCAGCAATTTTTTAGGTTTAATTACATGATTTCTACCTTGTAAAATTAGCAGTGGCATTATCACGGTACTGTACAGAGCCTGTGTAGAGAGCAGAGCTGTGGGAGGGGCTCAGCAGGCTCCAATCACTGCAGGCTACTTGCAGAACACTAAAGGAGGGGGCGGATACAAGACCAGTCATTCTGCACAAGGAGAGAGAACAGCAGTGACTGGTCTTTATCACAGGAGGCTCCTACACAGAGGCAGTTGCACACTGGATTATGTATGGATCTGGAAGAAATACAGAAAATCACACCAAGATTCAAGTAAGAATACACATGACTCTTTTATTTGGACAATATTTGATTATCCTGGAGTTTAGCTTTTATGCAAGTAAATATCCATACAAATCACTTAACATATATAAATACATGAATACCTTAGTATGTTTGGTCCCTATAATACCCTGCACGGCAATATTCAGACTGGGAAAGAGAAGAACAACATTAGGAGCCAATCAAGCGCTATTGCAGTGCAGCATTGCTGTCATTCTAACACCAAAAGCTTGCAGAGAGAAGAAAGCAAAGTGAACAGAGTGATGATTTATTAGTGTGCTGCTCCTTTATTGCCCAGATAGCAGGCTAGAGGTGTGTCCTGGATCAAATTGTGCAGTTTAATAGCAGAAGAGGTCTAGGCTTGCTTATACTATATATTAATTGTGCCACAAGACTGAAAGTATCACAAGACTGGCTGAACAAAATTACAAATCCTTTGGCAGGTAATATAGTTCTCATATGTTGTGTCCCAGCTGTGTAATAAGCTGCTTGACTGTATTTCGACCTTCATTCTCCCGATTCTGAATCAGCATTTGTAATAAACACAAACCAGACTGGAAAAAAAATCACCATTCTAACCATATCTCAGTATTTCTGTTTGAGCATAACAACAGTAGTAGTAATAATAATGACAGTAATAATAAAGGACTTGTAGAAGGTGTGGCATGCACAGGGCTCATGGAATAAATGAGAATCAGGCCTATAACGCAGAATGGATTATAGATGTCTGTGTAGAAACTGGAATTGATGATTATAACAAAGATTTTCCATATATTTCTCCAGTTTACTGTAATCCTTTGCTCCTCCTTGTGTATTGGGAAATCAGTTATTTGCTGGAACAACATTTTATGCGTGAAGGACTAGATACTCATTTTTTTTACACAGATGAAAACGGATTACATTTTGAATGGGGTTTCTAAAATACATACTTTTTTGCTGTTAGGAACAGAAATAATCAAACCTGTAAAGCTCAGTTTGATGTTAGGGTACAATATTTGAAATATATAAATGTGAAATATTTTTAGGGGATAAAGCACCAAACACATTAGATGCAGTATGTGTAATGGTGTTTATCCCCTTAGCTTTAGCTTCTTCTTCTAAACATTTCCCCCTCACTGCCTTCCTAACATTCACTGGATATTACACCTAGGGGCGATGTGAGATGCGGCAGGGGGAGGAGTCTGTGAGCTGTTAAAATGTATGCCTCTGGCCGACCACTTCACCTTTCTCCTCCATTCACAGATCTCTTATTACTATGATTCCACGATGCATCATGTTCTTTGAATAGAGGAGAAAGAAGTTGAATGACAGAATCTTCTCTACTTTCCTCATTTTTGGACTGACTATAGCTAGTAAAATAGGTATCAAATATCCAACATGATAGATTAACTAATGTGATGATTGTCTATATATGTGGTGTAAAACAACTGGTTTGGCTCCTGCTTGCATGAATAACAAAATCTGGGCCACCATAAAATATTTAATTTGGACTGACTAGCAATGGCTCGTTCACCTGATGATGGGGCAGGCCAAATACCTCTGCTACTGAATTATACACAAAACTCAGGAGTTCAATCTTAAAATTGTATTCGAGCATCTTAACTATTAACAAAAATGTATCTTATTTGTGTATCACTTAGCTGTAGATCCTCAAATCATCTCTGAATTGATGCCGACACTGTCATTCCTTCTGGAGGGTGGCTACTTTTGTTCCTCATGGTCCCTGTGTGTGTTGTAAAGTAGCCACCACTTCAAGCTCGCTCCTGTGATGGACTACAATCTCATGTTTAGTTTACTAATTTTCATTGAGATTGTAGTCCATCACGGGAGTGATCTTGGAGTGGTGGCTACTTTACAACACACACAGGGACCAGGACAGTGGAAGGAAGGACAGATTCAGCACCAATTCAGAGATGATTTGAGGATGTACAGCATGATAAGCTATATTTTGTTAATAGTTAGGGTACTTGAATGCATTTTTTAAAATTAAATCATTTGTTTAGTGTCACTTTAAAGGGGGTTTCTATTTTCATGCTGAAAGCAAAAAACCCTTTAAAGCTGGCCATATACTTACTGAGAGGACTGTTTTATTCACCACTATGTAACTTGGAATCTTTGTCCAAATCTGTATTCACCTAAGTACTTTGATTATTCTAAACTCTTGTCTCCCTGTAATTTTAAAGGGTGCTGTAGAAAGCACAAGTGTGTGCATAGGGGCTATAAAAGCAGTGATCTCTCGCAGTTTCATATAGTATGTCTCCAATCTATGACTATTTCCTGAAGCATGTCCCTAGTCGACATACAGTTATATAACATGCAGGCTGTCTCTAACAGCTTTCTATATTGCGGCCCTTTAATGATGTCAGGGGTCCCACTTGAGGCCACTATATCAAGTAAGTTGACCACACTGAAGCTGCTGCAGATAGGGTGCCTGTACTTAATACCTGCAGTTTTTCTGTTTTACGTAATATGTGATCATTTGAAAACCCCAACTTGTATTGCATCATTTAAAAAAAACACATATTTGCATTTGCAGCTTCCACCTCATCCACAGCACCCAGGATATGTCAACCTAAGTTATGAGGTAAGTACACAAATGTTTTAGATTTGTTTCACAAAACTGACTTTGAAATACATACATCGAGCACTGAATAGCATCATTTTAATGTAAAAGATAAGCACCATGCAAAGTATTGGTCAGGCCATAGAGAATATAGGCATTATTTGTTAAATGAGCATGGGCGTGATTTTACATGGAAAGAATAATTTGATTTTTCTGTATAATGTTTACTGTATATAATGTTTTTTTATGAAGTCCCTTGAGGGGATGGAGAGATTCATAAGGCAAAAATTATGCCACTAAGAGAAATTCTGCAGTTTAGAGCAGGGGTAGCCAAACTCCGGCCCTCCAGCTGTGGTGAAACTACAAATCCCATGATGCATCTCTCTCTGGGAGTCATGTCTGTGGCTGTGAGAATCTTGCAATTCCCTCATGGGATATGTAGTTCCACCACAGCTGGAGGGCCGGAGTTTGGCTATCCATGGTTTAGAGTAACATCCTCAACATCCTCCAGCATAAGGACCAGGTCACTTGCACTGCCACAGGCAGAAAACCTAAACAATGCTGTAGGTGAAGGTCTTACTAAACAGCACTAAAGTGATGTCCAACAGAGTCCAGGCCAGACTGTGGCAGGAATGGCACCACAGCATGCTTGAAACCCCAACGGACTGAATGATCTAGGAACTGGGCAAAATTATCTAGTGGACTTGGTGGAGGCCCCTCCAGGCAGAGCTGAAATAGATCCGCAGATGAAGACCCTATAACAATAGAGGTCCCAGGTTCCACATTATAAACATTACTTCCATTTGGACAAAATCATAGAAAATGCCCACAGAACCATTAGGGGAGTGTGGGCTGAGGTCACCCATAGCAGCGGGGCTGTCCTTAGTGTGTCTTTGAGAAGACATGTTGCACCGCATGGTGGTCAGCAGCTATGCCCAAGATTAGGCAAGGCCTTAAGTGCTTACCACCTTGGCCAGCAGTGGTGATGAGGGTTTTAGACAGTGGGTCAGTGAATGAAAACCAGACTCCAGTTGATGCTTCGGAGCAGCCGTGTGCAGAGCTGTGCCAAGGCTCTTGACCTGGAAAGCACTCTAAAGCTAACACAGTACATGAAGGTTTTGGAAGCACCACAATGCAGAGCCCAAGGCCCAAAGGTTATATTGCAGGCTAGAGATTGAGTCACAGCAGAGGCTGTACCACAGTTCTGGACCTAGAGAGTGCCCTTCAGCTAACTAACACAGTACTGTACACAAAGGTCTGGAAAGTGCCACAATGCAGAGCCCAGTAACTGAAGGTCACATTCTAGGCTAGCCCGGCAATCTTCCAGTCCAACAGGGGTCCAGGTATAGCCTCCAAAGCAGTTGAGGATACACCAATACAGATAGCTCCTGGGTAGATACCAGCTCAAGCAGTCTTGGTAGAAGTTACTTAAGAAAAAATTATTTACAATGTACCAACTATCTCAATTAAAGAAAAAATTAAATGCAGAAATAAGATTACGAGAAGCTTTCTCTCAGCAGAACTGAGGAAAAGGTGTACAACCTCCTATGACACTAGCAACAGACTGAAGCATGATGGTTAGAGGCAAGATTATATAAGGACTGGCCTTTAACGGTATTTATTTATTTTTGCCAGTATCCAACCCTCCTGTTGGTTGGAAGCATATAACATATAAGCATATAACCCAAATGTCTAATAATTAATATATTCCTGTGTCCCTCAATGGACAATATTAAAAGTCTGTTTTCAGTGAGCACATATTTGGAGTTGTTATTATTGCACCTTTTAACTCCTTGTGTTTTCCCTTATTTTTTGCTAATGTATTAAATATTGAGGGAATAGCCCTTATAGGGTGCTCTCCATTTGAGTCAGTTTTACTGTCAATTCCTTTCTGAAGATGCTATTTGTCTGCCTAGTACACTGACCAACTGAGTTTAGTAAGGTTGAGTCACTAACCTGGAAAAACTGTATATCTGTAAAGTCAGAGGAAAAGCAGATAAGCTTGTTTGCTCCAGGTAAGTGGCACAAAACTATCAAAGCAAGAGCATAAGAGAGACAGCCAGAAAACTAGCATTTACAAAATGAGTAGATAATAAGTAGCAATGGCAACCTCCATCTCGCGTCTTGTGCACAGGAAAGGTTTTCTTTTAACAACTGTTCATATGTGAACCAGATAGGAAATGCATTGTTTTCAATCAGCCACTTGACTCACAGATTACATTTGGAGAAGGAGCACTAAAGTGGAATCTCTATATGTAAGGAGCACATAAATTTGCCTCCATGTACACACATAATTATAGACTATATAAAAAAGCAACGTTTTGAAAACATCAACACACTGCTAAGTTTATATACTGATATGTTTTCATCAAGCTGATCTGTTTTACATTAATAGCTAACAATCATGAAAAAAAGATTATCTCCCTTCAGGGAATAAGAACTTATTTTCTCTCATCTGTGATCCAAAAATATAATGCTATAAATAGCATGCCTCGGGTACTCTTCAAAAAAAGTGAGACAAGAAACAATTAAGTGAGTATAATTATTTTAGCCTACAAATATAAAAATCACAAACAGAGAAGTTCCAAATGTTGTCAGCCATTATTTTTCATTAACATAACATTAGCACTCAGTCAGAGATAGTCAGAGATAGGCTACATCGAACCACTGGCACAACACAGTGATTGTCAAGCTTGTCAACAATTCCTTGGTTGTACAGAGTTTCATACAAACATTGTTCCACAAACACTAAAGACATTCCTCGAGAAACGTGTTTGTTTTGTACTACAGCTATAGTAAAGCGGTTCACACATATACAAAAAATCTGCAAGCATATTATGAGCAAACATTAGATAATCATAAGAAAACAACTGGTTATGAAAAAAAACCCATAAAAAGAATGTCAGTTCCACACAACAATGTTTTGGACATCAGTCTGTTAGGAGGGATTATACAGGAGAGTACCTACTTTTTAGAAATGCATTGAAAATTAATGTCCTGTGCATTTGATTCGTACCTTGGCAAAAGCATTTTGATCAAACGGAGCAAAAAATGTTGCTTGCAGGACACACTCGCACTGAACCAAAAATGAACAAGTATAGATGGTGCATTATAATAAAGCTTGATATTGCCTCTCTCTTGCTAAAAACCCACATGAAACAGCAGGGGTGGAAAGTCCTCCTCTTGATCATTAAGCTGTTTGTGTTAAAAATAAACATGAATAACAGGAAAGCAAAAGCTCAAAATGTTATTCAGGCTATTCAGAGCATAGAATTAATCTACTGTGCAGAAATGGTGGACAATAACTATGTGTGTTCCACCTATAAAAAAAGTAACAATACAATATATTTATAGCCAAATTTTTGCTCTTACTGAGAAGAAATAAAAAAATACAAGTTTTTAACTTTTATTTTTGGAGTACTGAAAATAAATGAAATATATACATAAATAGGCCAAAAGGAACCATCTAAACCCATTTGAGAAGCTAAGAAACTGGCAACTTTTCTGAATTAGAATGATCATATTGGGATTGATTTACTAAAGGAGTAGAGCATGTTCACTTTGCACAGTGAATTTTTCACGCAGTTTACTGAATGAGATGAAGCTGTGCTGATTTAAATTATTCAATCATGTACAAGCAAAAATCGTGTTTTCTTTTCAAATTTCCATGCACATGAGCAGGTATTCTTTGCAAAGTAAATTTACACACACAACTTAACTAGCACAGTCAAGGGTGATTGCATAGCACTCTGCTTGAGAAAGGAGTCACTCTAAAACACTAATGTAATTCACTATAGCCCGTACAGCTCCCGAAGCTGGCCGAGAGGCTCAGCCGAGCCAAAGGCATATGCTTCGGTTCCACTGAGCCAAAGTGAAACCCGAATGGCCCGAAGGCCTTAAAATTGACAGCTGGGTGGAGCCAGCTGTGATCTCACGGCTGGCCCTACCCAGTTGCAATGACAGATCAGCGTCCCCAGGTAACCTGGGGACGCTGAACTGTCATTAAACAATGACAACTTGGCTGGGCTTGCCGTGACATCACGGCCGGCTCCGCCCAGTTGTTATTCATTGGCCGGGACCTGTTAGAAGACTCTAACAGGTCCCGGCCAATAGGAAACAGTTGGGCAAAGCTAGCTGTCACTGCAAGCTCCACCCAATTGTTTCTTTCTTTTTTCAATTTTTTTTTCTTTTTTTTCAATAATCTTTAAAAAAAATATTTTTTAAAATAAATGTTTATTTATTTTTTAAATTGATCATTTATTCATATTTTTAAAGATTGTTTTCTACTTTTTCCACAGTTTTTCTATTCTGCTCGGTACCACGGAGGTACCGAGCAGAATAGCCAAGCCAAATGCCGCTCGGCGCTCACTGCCATTCGGGCCCTAGCCTGCCAGAGGTTCGGCTCAGCCGATCCAGATATTGGGTCAGCTGAGTCGAACTCCTTCTGCACTTCGGCTCAGCCGAACATGCTCAGCAACCGAAGCCAGCCAAAGCAAGCTGATGTATGGCTGATTTCAGCCGATCTATGGCTGAAATCAGCCGTACAAGCCTGAAGTGAACAGCGTTCGGCTCAATTCACTTCGGGTCGCTTATTCACTCGGCTGTCTTTGGCAGCTTTGTGAATAACCCTCTAAAACTTTTAAACATCATGGAGCAGCATCCATTGTAAGTGATTTTATCAGCATGTGAAATAGCTTAAAATAGGTTTGACTTTAATATCACTTTTATTCTAGTTCTTTCAGACTGTCCAGCACAGAAGCTTTAAATGTGGCAGAGTATGCAAGTTTTGTGAATGGTATAATTTCATGACCAATTTGTCAAGTCATATTTTTGAGGGTAAAAAACAGGTAAGCACTATGTTGAGTGTTAGTAAATTCAGTTGATAAATTAGGTTTGACAAATTGTGTGGCAGGTAATATTTAGTCAGGGTACTGGTAACACAGCACAAAAACAGTGCAGAGTGAATATTAACTGTCTTTTTTTCTTCAGATTTTAACACCTTTAAAATGGTATCAGTCCATGATGAAACAGCAGGTAAGGTATTTTATTTTAGTTCTAAAACTGAAAATAGTCAATAGCTGTAAACATGTGCTTTGCATAATATGTACCATGATCAAGTCATACTGTAAATATTATAAAATAATTGTATAATGTACACCTTTCATATCTCTTATGAGGTTTTTTTGTTATTAAAATACAAGTTTGATTTATTTTAGTTAAGTAGTACTAACAAATTCTGCTGTACTTTACAGAGCACACTAATCTCTCCCATCAGTTGCTGCCCCAGATACAATTTACACTCCAATGCCAAATATGACGAGATAGTAGAGATGAGCAAACCGATTTGTGTGTCTCAGAAATTACAACATATTTGGCTTGTTTATTCTGCGTTTGTATTTGCAAGGAACAGTGATTCACCTTGCTGGTAAACTTGTTCCATGCAAATGAACAGGTAAAGAGGTAGACTTCGTCTGTCTCCCATTTGACAGCATGGTGGCTAAGTGGTTACAACTCTTGCCTTGCAGACTGGGAGTCTATGTATTTTACAAAGTGCTGCAGAATTTGTCGATACTACATATATACATACAATAAAAAGATACCTACAAAACTTGCACTCAAAAAATAATTATAGGCAGAGAAAAGACAAACAACGTCTATGTCACCAAACTATTGGGCTTAATCTTTTAAGACAAAGACCAATAGTTTATGAAAGTCAAACAATATGGTGATATTAACTTCACTATTCTTTTTATTTAAGATTTTAATGATAACTGTAGCTTTTTACTTTTTGTATAATCAGTCTTCAAAATCACAGTGTCTATATTATAATTTAACTTTTGTGGATAACATAAAGATAATTAGTTACATTAATATATGATTATCAACAACAAAAAGCATTATCAGACATAGATCAGCATATCTTTCATGCCAATGGTCAAGCTACAGGTATATTGTGATATATATATTGTATTTTTCTAGTACCCCTCTTATGGCTATGAGCCTATGTCTGGATGGCTTCAGAATCCAATTATTCCCTTGTCACCTATGATGCCACAACAACAGCTACCATATCCACATGCAATACAAAAGCTGTCACCTCATCACCCTGTACTTATACCTCAACAACCCATGGCTCCTGTATCTCCTCACCACCCACTGCTTCCTCTCGCACCTCCACAAGCCAATCCGTTAAATCCAACCTATTTGACAAACCAGGAGAGTCAATATCCAACAAACACTCGACCAATAGAGCCACCAAAACCTGATATTTTAAACCAACCTAGTCAGCCTCTGTTCCCAATTCAACCACAGCCTCCTTTGAAGGAAGGAAGACTGCATGACCCATGGCAGCCAGTGAGCAAAACCAAGCTAGAAGAACTGGTAAGAACATGCATGTATTCTTAGTATAACACTAGTGCTCTCTTGTTGAGGTCTTGTTGAGGTTTTTAATTTTGTTTTTGGGTGGGGACAAACAAGGGAGGCACAGGGGTGTAGACACAGAGTGGGGATGGCCAATGTTTACTAAAAGCCATACTAAAGAACCAGTCAGTCTGTATAAAAAACATTCCTGATATGTCAAAATACACACCAACAGTACAACTAAAAAATACATATTTCTACCAGTAAAAAGTGGTAGTTAAGCTCAGGTCATGTGACTGTACTTAAAGAGCATTTTTCAGCAAAATGTTCCCCCTCACCAAGAACTTCAAAAAGTACGTTTTTACTAAAATGGCTCTTTTATTTTCTCATCAAAAATCAGCAGCATGCAACCTGGAAAAGTGGTGACATTTCCAGCTCACAGCTGTTTTTCAAGCCAAACAACAAAAAAGAGCTAGCGTGGGCTCGAAAACATCACCAATTTTTATATGCTGTGCTGCTGATTTTTTTTTTTTATAAGAAAATAAAGAATATTTTTTATACTATAAGTACTTTTTGAAGTCCTCTGTACAAGACACATTTTGCTGCAATGTGTTCTAGTTAACCCCGAGAATGCCGATGGGTTGGTGGCAATAGCTCAAAGCACTTTGGTGAGACTATTTGGTGTGCACTCTGTGAATCATTAGACTGTACTTAAAGAGGAAATAAACTCTGGAACTTGTGTTCAGAAAAAGGTAAGCAGAGGGCAAATAACTAGTCACCAGTATTGACTGTGGTCTCACTACAGTTGATCTTCTCCCATTTCTGACTTACAATGCTATGTTCTGCAATGTGTCTCTGTTTAGAGAGGTAAAGCCAGGGCTTTGCTTCCTCATGTTAGAGCATTGGCAAGGAGAACCACAGCACAGGAGTGGCATCACCAAATATCACTCCAAATCTCCTGAGATAAGCAGTCACGAGCAGCAGTGTTTTATATTCACACTGCAGATATACAGCTATGAGGTTGAAAAAACAAAAGTGTCTAGGTACACTCACATGCTAGGAAGGCCAGTGATTTTTATCAGGTGGAATTGCTGACAAAAGGTACATTTTTCAGGGCACTGCTTAGGCACAGTTAACATTTCTAGATTTTAGCTATCACAGTATTGGAAAATTAACTAATAAGTCTGCTACAGGTAGAAAGCATTTTCCCTAACTCCCTCTCCTCGTCCTCACTTTTTTTTGTTGTTGAGGGAGGCAGAGTTGTGTGAGACACGTATACACACTGCCAAGAACATAAAGACTACTGAGCAGGCACCAAGATTTACTTAGTGTAATCTTTGAGCCAACATCTTGGTCCAGGAGCTAGAGGCTGATCCAGGATGATGTTTATTTTTAAAAGGCAATAAATACCTATCAGTATTGCACTTACTCATTACCATGCATGACTTTAACATAGAATACTATACCTGATGCTAGGTCAGCTATAACTGAAGTCCTCCAGGCTTACATTACATCCTTAAGTGGTTAAAAGAGAACTAGGGGGTAAGTGTTTTCCCCATAGTTCTCTTAAGGGTCATGGGGGGACATATACTAGCATCCTGACCCAAAGCTCAGTATATCACAAGCTACAGCTCGCGGTATACCTAAATTGCTGCAGACGGGACGGATCCCGACATTACTGTTGAGATCCACCCAGCTGCGTGAGTGACAGCGGGCTCTGCCTATCTAGAGGCAGAGCCAGCTGTACCCCCTCTCCCGTACGTTCCTCCACTCAGCACTGGAAGATAGGAGCGGTGAGGGGGGGGATCACTGCAGGGAGCAGTGGCTGACAGTCACCACTCTGTGCAGGGAGATGATCGAGAAGTGACCGAGTGACGGTATGTGTTCACTCACTCCCCAATCTATTGAGCCGACGTGTGACAGTTTCATTGTCAGACGTCGGCTCGAACTATGAGGATAAGTGATTTTCACTCACGTCATAGTTCTCCTTTAAAGACAGAATTCTACAACAAAAAACAATCATATTCTAACAACTGCTATGTTAAGGCCTATTACAATAGAATACTTGTTTAATATACTAATCTCGAAAGGCAAAGTTACATAATGTAACCTGACTAACATGGTTATGGAATTGTTCAAGCTTATTACAGGAAGGGCATCGAACTGTACAAAGCCTCCAAGCCATTCTATTCTCAAATAATCTAACAAAATTAAACTTAAAAAATATCACACAAAGCCATCGGAACATTCACACTCTCTTGAATTTGCTTCTCTCTTTTCTCAAGCTTATTTTATATTTTTTAAATGATCACTATAACCTATTTATTCTATATCACAGAACACAAAATAAGCTGCCAAAAGAATAACCAGAGGGAAATATTCATTATTCACAATGAAATGCCAATAAAACAAATTCCATTCCTAAGAACAGATGAGTCCTAATTATGGAGTGCAGACTTAGGCAGCAAATGTTTATATTTTTTACATCCCAAAATAGCATGCTAATTAAGTGGCTACAGGAAATTGTTTTCTGTAAATGTAAAGCAATCTTTCCTCCACGTTACAAGAACTTCCTTAAGAATGCATTAGTCTTTTTACATTATCACACTGGCAGTATATTAAGCACAGAAAACCCCCCAGAAAGAAAGGCTTTTCAAAGTTTATACTTTAAAAGCTGGCAATGACTATGGCGCCATTGTTAGACTACGGCTCCAATGTATTGCGGGCAGACATTAGTGAAAGTTATAAAAAGACTGTAAGAACTATATTTTAAAAACGAAAATACACAATGTTAATACATTTTCCTTTGTAAAGTAGAAAAATGTATACAGCTATGTGTTATTAAAAAACACTTTGCTTGCCTTTATCTGGGCCTTGAGCACTGACACAAACGATGGGGGCATAATTCCTTACGCTGACACCAACGATGGGGCACCAATCTACCTGTTACTTTGCAGTAGCCTACTACTATGATAATTTACTCTACAGACAGGAATACAAACTTGTCAGGGGTTCTAATGCTTTCCTAATTTATACAAACCTACAAAAAAGTTTTGGCCTTACATACTCATCAAAGCTGGCCATACATGGCTCAAATTTTGGCCACCCAGCTCAACAAACTTCTATTTAAAAAATCGAAGAAGTGGGGTGGAAAATTGTTAGCCGAACATTGACTGCATCCAGTCAGATTCAGTCAGTGTTCGGGCATTCAGACAATTTTTGGTAAATGGTTTGCTTCAGGAAATAGAACATTTATAATAATTATTACAATCCCACAGCCTGATCAGAAATGCACTATACGTATTTTCTATTTTTAAAGAATGTTTTTACTTCTATTATTTCAATAAGTCCACTAAAACTAGATTTAGTTTATGAAAGAAAAAGACGTTGAAATGGAACACAGATGTACCGTTTTCATTCTAATTTTCTTTTTTCATTTATTTTTAGGATTAAATGTGAACAGAAATGACGGGAAAAATATGATTTCACTACCATTAAGTTCCAGTCTATATTTGGTTTTCAGCAACAATTTTTCTTTAGCTAATTATCATCATTGCATTGAACAAAAAAGATATAAAAAGTCTAAAATAAATAAAAATGACCAGTATGGTAAAACAATGCTTTGTGTGCGTAACTTTTTTATAGTACAAATAGTGTCTTTGCTAAAGTGAAAATAAATAGTATAACCAACAGGTTATGTAAAAAAAAATTTGTGAGGCAGAGCCTTCTCAATACAGGAGGTATTTGTATGTATCACTTTCTGCGAAAAAATACAGGAGGAGCTTGCAAAAGCATAATCTTAAGGAGAGCTTAAACTGTGGACAATATGCCTAAAAAAGCAAGCAGAGGGCATAGGACTGGTCAGCAGTATTGTCTGTAGGCTTGTAGTTAGATATTTTCACAACTTCTAACATTTCATGCCTTGTTCTACCATGCACTGTAACTCAGTGCAGAGGCAACCTTGGCGTAGGTTCTGTTTCCTCATGTGAAAGTTGCTCTCCTGATCACTGGTGATCTGATGACTAGCAAGAGTAGCAAGAGATGGAGGAAGCACATACACACCGAATGCATGAAGCAGAAGCAAGGAGATCCTTGCACTGCAGGTCTTTAGGTACGCCTTTCTTTGCAGCAAGGAGAACAGTGAGCAGCATTGGAATTACATCAACAAATCTCACTTTAAATTTTGTGACACCAACAGTCAGTAGCAAGGTGCCTTAGAGGATCCTACACTGCAGATTTACAGCTTTAAGGCATACAAGGTGCACTGCTAAGTAAGGAGATACAAGGTCAATGGCTGTTGCTTAGGCACTATTAATATTTCTAGTAGGAGGTAGGATACCACTTGTTTATTTGCTTGTTACATACAAAAAGTATGTGACGACATAGGCACAGACAGTTTTATAGGAATAAGATAACAAGTGGGCTATCTCAGGGAATTTCAGAGTTTTGCAGGTAACCTTTGGGAAGGAACTGGTAGGGTAAATGGCATCAGGCTGTGTTAAAAGATTTGAGTAATAATCACATTTCCTGAAAACAATATAGTTATGGGTGTCTGTAGATCACATAAACATGTGACATGAGTGGTGATCACAATAACTACTGATTGAGGTGCAGAAATATACACCAGTGGTGGGGCACAGGAAAAGCATACAGGGTAAGAATTACCATATTTTCTTGTATGTTAAAGAATGAGTCCAACTAAGACTAGCATTTCAGATTCCTGAGATCCTAGGTTTGCAGACCTGCTGTGGTCATTATAAGGTGCTCCCACTCTTCCTGATGGATCTGTTATGCATTGTATATTATGCAGAATGCAACAGGAGGTGTTAGAGCACACACATGGGCAGTCAAACTCCCAGGTATACAGAACAAAGCTGATAATTACGACAGGGAGTATCCATAACGTATAAGAAGCAAGAAGCTAACACAGACAAACATGTTACACCGATATATAAAGTAATACTGTAGAGACAAAGCAATAATTTTGCCACTTTATAGATCACTGGTTCGATCTCATCTGGAGTATGCAGTCCAGTTTTGGTCACCAATCCACAGAAAGGATGTCCTTCAGCTGGAGAGAGTCCAGAGAAGGGCAACTAAACTAATTAAGGGGCTGGAGGACCAAAGCTATGACACAAGGTTACTAAATTGAAACTTGTTCACGCTGGAAGTGAGGGGATGAAGAGGGGTCATGATTTTGATGTACAAAATGTTTAGTGGTGATGGCAACATCAGCAATAAACTATTTACAATAAACTCCATAACAAAGACTAGATGCCACCACCTAAAATTGGTGGAGAAAAGATTTAACCACAAAGCGTGTAGGGGCTTTTTTCAGTTAGAACGGTTAAAGTCTGGTACTCGCTGCCACAAGCAGTAGTATCAGCAGAGAATACTGAATCATTCAAAAAGCATTTAGATACCTTCTTCAGATACTGTAACATACAGGGGTACAGGTACTATTAAAATTAAGATCACACAGGGACTCGAGTACACACATACACATGCACAATCACACACAGACACACAAAGGTTGAACTTGATCGACCTGTGTCTTTATTCGACCTCAAATACTATGTAACTTTTGGGTTGTCAGCTGAAAATAACAGTACATTATTTTTCAGCACATGCACTTGCAAAATGTATTGCAAACACATGTATTCTTCTTTAAAGGAGAATCTTGGGAAGAGTGAAATACACTCATCCCCATAATTAGAGCCGATGTGTGACACTGCAGCTGTCACACATCATCTCTATTGATCGATCTTCTCCCTGCAGAGAGTGGTGACTGTCAAGTCACTATTCCCACAGGGATTCCCCCCTCCCCTCTCCGTTTCTCCAGCTGCAGACTGGAGGAACCGACAGGAGAAGTGCTGGGCAGAGACAGCTGTCAATCAGGTGCTGGGGTGGATCCTGACAATATTATCGGGATCTTTCCCGGCTATAGTGCGGCTCTGAGCTGTCAGCATATAGCAGGCAATAGCCAGCTGTATGCTGAGTCTTGGGTCATAGGAGGACATTAGTAAATGTTCTCCTGTGACCTTAAAGAGAACTATGGCCAAAAAAAAGGTTGGTCCATAATTCTATTTTGAATTTAAGTTAAAGAACTCTCGGAAAAATAATTTGTAACCCTTACAGTGGGGCTACCCCCGCACTGCAAGGGTTAAGTGCTCGTTTTCATCTAGGGTGTAAAATGAAAAAGTTATGCTCACCTGAATCTCACAGCTGGTTTGCTCTTATAGCAGTCCCTGGAGCCTCTCTCCCCCACCGCTCCAGCAGTCTAAGATTCTGTGCGTCATTACATCCAATACACTGTAGGGGTTAGTCACAAAGCTGCCGAAGGCAGCCGAGTGAATAACCGAGCCGAAGTGAGCCGAACATGCCAATTGCTGCAGCAGAGGAGGAGACAGGACGGAGGGAGCACTCTAACAGCCAGGCAGGACTGAGGTTCAGGTGAGTATGTCTTTTTTTTTGCACCCTATACCAAAATGAACACTTAACCCTTACAATGTAGTGGTATCCCCTCTGCAAGGGTTAAAAATAATTTTTATTCTTTAAAATACATTTCAGATTTTTTCTATGTCCTGTGGGAACAAAGTCAGAAATCATGACAAATGTATAGAGTACAGGGTTTTAATGCAATTATTATTTTGGTGTTTATTCCTTTAAAAAAGAAATGCTATACATAATGTCATTGTTTGGTCAATGAAAGGGTTTATTTTAAATGTACTGAAACAACAAAAGTATTCTCAGACATAAAGCACTCTTATGGTTAGAAGTCTTGGCAAACTGCATGGAATGTATGTATAAATCTGGACCATATGGTACAAGTCTCCATACTGACTTTTGCTTCAAAATAATGCTTTGATCTGTTTAAATGAATCTTTTTTTATGAAAGAAAAGAGTATAGCTATAGTTTAAAAATAACTCCAACAGCTGGCACAATAGTGACATCAATCTGTATATCAAATTGAGTTGCTTCTAAATATTAAATAAATCAGTGACAATGTAAACCTATGACAAAAAACATCAAAACACTTTTGTATGACATTGAAAAATTTCCCATAGCTCACGCAAAAAAGCAAGTGATAATTACCAGAACTGCCAACCGCGTCACCTATACTGCTGACTGAAGTTGATCTGCAGAATCAGACACTTTGCAAAGTTTCAGATTTCTGCTCCCCTATTGTGCACAGTGGTTTGATCCGCTGGCCCCTACATCACTATTGTGTCCTGTAGTGATGTAGGGTTCAGTGGGAAGAACTAACAAGCACAGTGGGGAACAAGTTCTGAACAAAAATGTTTGCTATATGTCCCCTAATTAATTCTGTTATCCCTCACCAGCCTCAATAAAATAAATTCTTGGTCTCCCTGCACTCTACAGCAATTTTGTTAGCCATTTTTTTGTGCAGTGTTCTTATCTATAGTAATACTTGTCATAAATTTATAACTGATCAAAATTGAAAAACATTTTTTTTTCTAATTTCACTTGTTTTTATATAAAATTAAATAGTTCTTAGAAAATAATATTATGTAGAGAAGAAAACATGGCTTGTGCAAACAAAAACAAAAAAAAACTCCTGTGATAGACTACAATCTCATGTTTAGTTTACTAATTTCTACTGAAGTTATAGTCCATCACGGGAGCAAGCTTGGAGTAATGGCTACTTTACAACACACACAGGAAACATGGGGAACACATGTAGCCACCCTCCAAAAGCTAGGACAGTGTCAGTATGAATTCAGTGATGATTTGAGAATCTACAGCCGAGTGATACGCAAATAAGATAATTTTTAAAAAATATTTAAGGTACTTGAATGCATTTTTAAGATTTTACTCCTGAGTTTAGTGTCACTTTAACCCTCACTTTATGTTTTGGTACCATTATTCATCAGGACTGTTGGTAAGGTAAAAAACTTCCTAATGTGTACATAGAAAGCAACAAAACAAAATTCCCCAACAGAAATTCTTTTCATTATTCTATCCACAACTAAAAGAAAAAAAAATGTGTGCTCTACGAATAGTTAATAGTGTTATTGCAGGGCTTATAAATATTTGCATCGGCCATGACGTTAATACGTAACTCCATTTTTCTGATAAATGTCAAACTGTAAATGTAAGACAAAATTTTCCATTATGCCTGCTAGGAGATTTCCTTAAAGCAGAACACCAGCAAATCAAATCTTAAGCTACCCCCGCACTGCAAGGGTTAAGTGCTTATTTTGTCTAGGAAGCTAAAGTAACAAAGCTGTACACACCCAAACCATGATCCCAGCTTGCTCTTACACAGCTCCCTTCAGCCTCGCTCCCCCTCCGCTCCAGTGGTCTAAGGTCCAGTGAGTCATCATACTCTATACAGTATAAAGAATGTGAGGATGCCAAGAGGCATACCATCACTGGGGCAGAGGGGGAGAAATGCTGGAGAGAGGGGTGTAGGAGCCGTGGTTCGGGTGAGTATAACCCTGTTATTTTAGCTTCCTAGACAAATGAGCACTTAACGCTTGCATGCGGGGGTAGCCCCACTGCAATGGTCAATATTTTATTTCCTTGGAGTTCTGCTTTAAAGGACAACTGTACTTTTGTTGCTTTTTTTTTTTCTTGAATTAATCTCAAGTGG